GAACATGAATATCATAAAGGGGCTGAATACGCGACAATTACTCGAGAGATTTAAACATGACATGACCTACATGAATTTCACGCACGGCGAACACGAACATGGCTAAGACGTGAACTTGAACTCAAGTTATGATTGAAGCTAAACCTGATGCTATTTATCACAACAAGATGAGAGTTGAAACTACCTCTCCGCTGCTCGATGATCTCCGCAAGTTGCGGCGTTCGCGTGCGTGTTATGCTCTCTCGACGGGAACTAGCGTGCGGTGCCGTGTGCGTGCGATAGCTTGTGTACGGTACTCAGAATTTCTCACCAACTCTCTAATCTCTATGCTGAATTAGGGAGTACATATATATAGCTGAAAATGATCAAGAAATCTTCCCAACTCCAATATATTTATACTTGAGCCGATTGGGATGCTAATGATGGTGAGATTTGGTGGCTAAAGGAAATGGTGCCACTTGTTACACTTATAGTGTTTAAAGAGGATTACTCATCAAAGTAAAAGATTAGTCATCACTTGTGAATTAATTAGATGACACCTCCAGCTTAATAAACTTAGCATAAGTATCCTCCACTAATAAAGAAGCTCACGGCTTTGAATTTAATTTGAAAAATCCATACGGTTTTGACCTTCTTAATCTTGATTAATTTATAATTAATCATAGCTAAATGCTTAATTACATAATTAAGCATAATACTTAATTACTAAAATTATTCCGAACGTAAACGGGACGTCGAAAATAATTTCCGGTAATCTCAACTGAAATGACTGAAATAATTAATCCGAACGTGAACGTGACATTCGAAAATGAATTCGAATATTCATGACTTGGACAATTGATCCGAATATCGACATTTCGGATACTTCATCAACTTGAACTATTAATTCTGAACTCATTAATTAATTAAATAAGTCAGAATTAAATCTGGAAACTTATCCGGTTTACTGAAATAATTAAACCGAATAACATATATCAACTAATAGTCGAACTTGGAATATGACTAACTGATTGACCTGAACTTGAACATGAACATGATTATTTATTAACAAAGGCTAGCTTAAAACTAAAAGCTAGTATTTTCCTTTATTACTAAAATACGGGGCGTTACAATATGACGTTTGTATGTCGCAATTTTGTACTTCGCAGAATAGAAAATTTACAAAAATAAACATAAAAAAATATATGTTAGTCGTTATTGTAATAGTGTTATGCGGTTTTTATGCGGAATTGTTTCGAATAATAATCGCAGGTTCATTGACCTAATAGTAGTAGTCTTTAATTTATTAGTAATTTAGTCACAGACCAAAAACTTTTCAAAAATTAATTTTATAAAATTAATTATTTACCAACTCGGTGACTAATATGCGACGTTCGTATGTCACAATTTCGTATGTCGCTGAATAGAAAATTTACAAAAACATAAAAAATTAAATTTTATTCGTTATAGTACGAGTGTTATGAGGTTTTTATGCAGAATTTTGTCGAAGTAATAATCGCAGGTTCATTCATCTAATAATATTCTTCAGTTTATATTTAATTCACAGACAAAGAAATTTTTAAAAAATAAATATTATAATTAATTATGCTCCAATTATGCGAATGATATGCGACGTAGTCTTAAATTTATATTTAATTCAAGAAAAAGAACATTCCAATAAATAAATATTATAATTAATTATGCACCATTCTGCGAATGATATGAGACGTAGTCTTATATTTATATTTAATTCACAGACAAAGAACTTTTCGAAAAATGAATATTATAATTAATTATGCACCAATTCTGTGAAACTTAAAGAGAGAAGTTGATCTCGTTCGGATGCCTTGAGATGAACGGCTTCTTAGTTGAAGAGGATGGGGATTCGCTATCTATGATATGCGACGTAGTCTTAAATTTATATTTAATTCAATAAAAAAGGACTTTCCAAAAAATAAATGTTATAATTAATTATGCAACAAATATTTAATTCAAGACAAAGAACTTTCCAAAAATAAATATTATAATTAATTATGCAATAATTCTGCAAATGATATGCGACGTGTCTTAAATTTATATTTAATTCACAGACAAAGAACTTTCTAAGAAATAAATATTATAATTAATTATGCACCAATTCTGCGAATAATATGCGACGTATGTATGTCGCAATTTTACATCGACTCACCTACTTTACATCGAATAATTTTTATAATATAAATTATGCACCAATTAGGCAACTGCTATGCGACGTATGCATGTCGCAATTTTACATCGACTCAACTACTACTTTACCTCGTGCTACGTTCAGTAATAAGTTTTAGTGACCATAACCGAGCCAAAAGTTCTACATTGTCCCATTTGCTTTGAACCTCTAAGCCCTCCAGTATATTAGGTACTACTTAAACCCCGGTACTACGTTCACCATTTCCTCATATCGCAGTCCGACTCTCGTAAGTGGCCGACTGAGGATGAGCGGCGAAATTGGGCTGAGGAGTCTGGGGGTCTTTGCGGAAGAGGTACGAGATCTTTTCGCCATTGTTTGTTAGAAGGGATAGGTCTTTGAGTCGAACAAAATTAATCGCCATCCCTTGTTCGACTTTCAATATCTGTTTTCACATCGGTCTTTGCCAGTGAATTTTGTACACCAGTTGAAGAAAATGGAAAACGGGATTTATATCAATGGTCTGACTTCCGATAAAAAAAGTAGTATACCCCGGAAAAACAAGCACCTTTGTCTTTGAAGGCGTGCTCTCTCTCGCCGTCGTAGGCGCCTCAATCTAGTAAACCCCGGAAGACCAAGCAATTCGCCAGAGATTCCACTTCTTCCCAAACATATAGTCACCAACAGCTTTTTTAGCTTCCAATATTTTTAGCTTTCAATGTGATGTGACCATGTGCCTGGGCAGACGTGGGATCTCCAGGGCGAGTGCTTGGACTTTCGAGGTATACTAGATTGAGGAGGCTACGACGGTGAAAGAGAGCACGCCCTCTAACACAACAGGAGGATCATGACCCATCTCTCAATTCTTCACCCTTCGATTTTTCTCAATAAGTCTGTACAATGAAGAAACTTCACTGACCGGCATATTGAGGAAAATCGAGAGTTGAAGAATGTTGAGAAAATGGTACTGATCCTAATTAAATTGTCTCATCTCAGTTACCTTTTATAGAAGACTAAAGAATATATATATCCTCCTTGATACGCGCGCTGTTATTAATTTGCCAAAGACTTGAGGGGACGTTTCGGAGCGACTCTCGAAATTCGCAGCACTGCGAACAAAATGCGATGAATCGCACTTCATTCGCATAACGTATTGACAATAAATGATTTCACATATCAGGTTAAAGAAGATATCTATCCTCCTTGATACGCGCACTGTTATTAATTTGCCAAAGACTGAGGGGACGTTTCGGGGCGACTCTTCAAATTCGCAGACTGTGAACAAAATGCGATGAATCGCATTTCATTCGCATAACGTATTGACAATAAATGATTTCGCATATCTGGTTAAAGAAGATATCTACCATCCTTGATACACGCGCCGTTATTAATTTGCCAAAGACTGAGGGGACCTTTCGGAGCGGCTCTTCAAATTCGCAGAACTGCGAACAATATGTGATAAATCGCATTGCATTTGCATAACGTATTGACAATAAATGATTTTGCATATCTGGTTAAAGAAGATATC